TGCTCTGTCTCCCAGCATATGTGCTACTGAGCACCACAGGCCTGAACTAAGTCTTAGCATGAAGTACAGGACTATAAAACACAGAAATTATATTGTGTAGCTTATAATCAAACGATTCATTTTAGTATATTTGATTAAATAATGTATATTGTATAATGTAGCTAACTTTGTTCATTTTGGAGCTCTTTTCCTGTAAACACTCGTCACCATCCATGTGATACATTTGATCTGCAGAACCTTGCCAGGTAATTTAAAGAATATGACTTGTGACCAGTATCCTCCCATGTTCCCACCCAAGCCATTTTGACCACTTTTTAAATTCTGATCCTGAGTTTGACTCATTAGATTATATGAAGAAGTGAAGCTGTATGGTGAGTGTACGCAGCATTTTTCTGGATCCTCCTGACTCCTTTTCCCTCCTTAAATGACCCAGGCAGGATAGCACATGCCTCTAATCCCAGCACTCAGAGGCAGAGGCAGGTGAACCTCTGTGAGTTCGAGGCCAGCCTGGTCTACAAGAGCTAGTTCCAGGACAGGCACCAAAGCTACAAAGAAATGTAGTGTTAGGAGTGGCTAGGCTGCGTCCCCGGCACCCGGCCGCCCACATGGCTAGCTTATGCCCGAAATAATTACACGGAAACTGTATTCTTTTAAACACTGCTTGACCCATTAGTTCCAGCCTCTTATTGGCTAGCTCTTACATATTGACCTAACCCATTTCTGATATTCTGTGTAGCCCACGAGCTGGCTTACCAGGAAAGATCTTAACCTGCGTCTGTCTGGAATGGGAGAATCATGGCGACTCCTCGACTAAGCTTCTTTCTCCCAGCATTCTGTTCTGTTTTCTCCGCCTACCTAAGGGTTGGCCTATCAAATGGGCCTAGGCAGTTTCTTTATTAATAAGAAACCACTCCCACATCAGAGAAACCCTGTCTCGAAAAAACAAAAACAAAACAAAAAAAAAAAAAGAAAAGAAACTCTGTGTCCAAAAGAAAAAGAAGAGAACCGGCACTGTGGGCCATGACTCTGAAGACATTTGTCCCTAGCCCAGGTTTTTATTTATCCCTTCATATCTGAGAAGGAGGAGGAGGAGGAAGAAGAAGAGGAGGAAGAAGAGGAGGAAGAGGAAGAGAAAGAAAAAATAGCACAGAGAAACCCTGTCTTGAAAAAAACAAAAAAGTAACTCTAAAGTCTTTAAAGCAAACACACACACACCTCAACACCTCACATTCTAATTCTACTGGACAACATTGCTAAACAGGAACCACTGAGACCCAAGACTTGCTGTAGGCTCCATGGAGAGTCCAAACTCAAATCAGTGTTTGGAAGCCTGTGCAAGACTCACTCAAGTAGGACAATTGCTATTGAACAGAGAACCGGCACTGTGGGCCATGACTCTGAAGACATTTGTCCCTAGCCTAGGTTTTTATTTATCCCTTCGTATCTGAGAAGGAACTGTGCAGAGATGAAATCAGAATGGATGGAGGACCAACAGAAAACCTTATCTTCTGTGATTGTAATCTCTGCCTAAGGCTTTCCGTCCATTCCCTGATGGTTTAAGCAGTCATTAGGGTACTTTTCATGCCCACTGCCATGCCAGAACATACATAACCAAAGAAATTAATAATAATTAAAATAGCAGAGACATGCATATGAGAAATAGCTCCATTCTGATTTCTTTATCAAGAACAATTAGAGTGTCCAGCTCTCCACTGAGCCTGAGCCATTCAGGAAAGACCACTGTCTACTCAAGTCTCCTCAAGCCTAAGACACCTTGCTCTGCTAGAGGCCACCGATGCAGCATCTTCAGCAAGATTGGCAGAAATTCCCAGGCAGGAAGAAAACAAAACCCACTCCGCAGGCATCAAGTTCAAACATCACTCAGGTTCTTTCCGGAGCGCGTTCTGGAGTCTCACACGTGACTATCACAAAATAATTGATTGGTTTCGGTAGAAGGTCGGGAGCAGAGCATGCTTCTAGACTCACCCCAAAAAGATGTTAAAACAGTTTTTTTTAAAAAAAAAAAAAAAAGCGGGGGGAGGGGAAGATAATAAAAAAATAGATTTGTGAGCTCAAAAAAGACCAAAAACAAACCAAAAAAGAAATCCCACACAGCATCTTTTAGCTGTTGAGACACCTCTAGAAATTTCAGTGTAATATTTACCAAGATAAAATAGGAGTTATGACAGCTGATTATGTTTAAAGATGAATATTCACGAGCATGCGTGGATGTTTACGAGAGATTGCATTTTCTGCTTCGTCCTGAAAAAGCGGTGGAGCTCAGTGATACTTAGAAACACTGACTAATCTTTCTTAAATGCTTAATCTCTTAGGAGCGACCTTCATTATCTTTTATCCCCTTCACAAGGGCCCCGTGAAAGAGGCTTTGTCAGTGAAAGGGCGCTTGTGTGATGGTCACGGAACATATGTCTCAGTAATCCAAGGACAGAAGTCAGTTGTCCAGTCTTAGAAAGGAGCCCTGACAACCTCCCTGCACCCCGGGCACACCATTTGGTCGCTGGCCGGCCGTGTGGGCCAGCATCCTGGCCAGGCGCCTGGGCTCAGAGCAGCAGTGGCAGGCTCCCTGGCCTGAGTCAGCAGTCTCCTCTCCACAGAGCAGATGGACCGGCCCTCAGGGAAAGGAAGCTCTTCTGAGAGGCTCCTGTCTTCATTCTTCCCAAATGGGCTTTGCTATAAAAAGCAAATTAAACAGCCATTGTTCCTCTCCTCCATGGAGCTGGCATCCGAACATCCTGCCTAATACCAAGAGCTCCCGGATGTTTGCTGCTGGCCTGGCGACGCCTGCCACTGCTAACAGCAGTAACAGAAAAATAAAACATGTCTTCCACTTGGGAATGGTATTTTTCCTGAAGACCAGGCCTTTCTTTTCAGTGGTGTCTTTTTTTTTTTTTTTTTTTCCTTTTTGCTGTGATATACACTGCCACAGCCAAAGAGATCTTTCTTGTTGATCCTGGCATCTTTTTCATGCCTCCCGTGGGCCTTGCAGATAGGGTTAGGCCCTAAAATCATAGGCGATCTTGAAGGCCTGACTCTTAAACTTGGCCATTCTGGAATAGTCTTCGGGAAGTAAAACACCATCTGTGTGGCAAATGCATTGTGCCACCTTCAACCTAAAGCACAAAACAAAAGAACAAAACAACCTTGTTTGGTTTTTGAGATAGTCCTGACTGTCCTGAAATTCACTATGTAGACAGGCTGGCCTCAAACTTACAGAGCTCTGCCTGCCTCTGCCTCTCACCATGTCTTTCTAAAATGACACAGCTGAGAAAAATATAAAGATGTGGTGAGGCTTTGGGTTTATTTGTTTTTCAACACAGGATTTCTGTTTCTCTGCATCGCCCTTTTGCTGTCCTGGAATTTGCTTTATAGACCAGGCAGATCTTGAAGAGATTCTCCTGCCTGTGCCTCCTAAGTGTTTGAGACTCAAGGGAGAAAACCAGAAGTCAATCACAGACAGTTTCGTGCCTTGAAAGAGACGCAAAATCAAAACTGGGGGCAAAGGAGAGAAGAGGCAAAGGGCGAAGGTGGCTCATAACCAGTAGTTCAATTGTATAAAAGTCTCTTACAGTGTTCCCCAGGATGGGGGCTGAGAAATGGCTCCGTGGTTAAGATGCTCTTGCAGAGGACCCTAGTTCAATTCCCAGCACCTGCCTCAGGTGGCCCACAACCATTTGTAACTCCAGTTCTGTCATGAGCCATTTCCCCCCTAAAAATCATTACAGGAACCATCACCCTGGGGAGTCTGCAGAGAACCCCACACCCATAATTATGTTCTATTGAGAACCTGCCCCACACCCAGTTAACTTATCTGTTAGCGGAATGTGCCTCACATTCCAGCTATCCAGGGAACCAGGTGTGGCAACTCTTGGCCTACCTGACTTCTCGGCCTACCTGACCGAGCTACGTGACCTGGAACACGCGGCAAGAATCTCGTTTCCCTACCCTTCAGGGGCTATATAAACAGCAACCATGATCCTAATAAACGGAGGCTTTGACAAATCTGCTTGACCTCCTTCTTCTGTCCTAGCTCATTCCCTTCCAGGTAGCGCCCCTCCGAGACCTTGGAATAACTGATTGCAGGGTGGGTTACAAACCCCTAGACTGAGTAACACACCCAACGCAATCAATCGACACAGTTCCAGAAGGATCCAGGCCTCTGGCCTCAGTGGGCACCAGCACCCAAGGACACATACACATAATTTAAAAAGAAAAGAAAAGATCCAATAGGGCTATTCAACTTAGAAAAGCATCTAAACAGCTTCTTTGGGCATTATCCAAATATAATTCAACACTGGCCAAGTTATAGGACAAGACAGCACTGCTTTGTCTGGTCACACACATATGGCCACACAATCGCTATTAACCACAGATTTTAATTGTAAATATAATTAGTAACTAACCAGAGACAATGGGAACGAGCAACACACGTTGCACTTCCATCAACCCAAGGCCAAGGTCTGTCATCTTAATAAACACCTGATGGCTTCAGATACAACACGCTGAAGAAGGACAACTCTGTAAGACACAGGTCCCAGGAGGGAAACAGCGACTGAAGAACAGGTTTTTTTATTTGCCACTTAAGAGTTTCAAAATGCCTTGCCCATCCTTCAGGGTGAAGGATGAAAGGGTATTTCAAACACTGTTTTCTGAAAGATAACCACTCGTGCTACCAAAAACGTATGGTGGGCAGTAGTCCCCAAACCTGCTGAACTGGGGGGTCCTGGAGCTTTCTAACCCCCCACTCTCAAATTCGGGTTTTCAGAATGAAACTAGTAGTATACACTTCCTGAACTGCTCTGTACTTGGTCAAGTGGCCTGATTCTCAGAACCGGTAGAGGAGTTTCCTGTAAATAAAGGACCAAAACAGGAAGTAAGCCAGCGAGTTTAGAGCAGAACCAGGAGGGTGTGGGAGGGTGGGAAAAGGCTCCTCCAGGGGGCATTTCATGACATTCCAGCCAGAGCTCTGAGGCAGCCAGGGTTTCTCCTCTAAGCAATGAGGGGCCTGGGTGTTATGGCACCAGTCAAGACCTCTGTTGTGGCTGATGGCCTCTGCCTGGTGCTGTAGTGTTGGCTCAGCTGACAGAGCGGGAGATGCAAATTTTATCAGAGTCCTGTGGCTGCTGCAAAAAATTACCACGACTTAGTGGTTTGAATGTTAACAACTCCTGAGATGGGGTTCTAGTTCCAGAGTGAATCCATTGCATGCAGAAGGTCCGGGATTCCATTCCCAGCACAATAGGTAAACAAATTTAATTTATTTTCTTGAAAATCAGTTTCTCTGCTGTTTCTGCCTTCTAGAAGCCACCTTCCCAGGTTAACTCACGGCTCTCTCTCTCATCTTCAAAGACAACCATAGCAGATTGGGTCCTTCTCATGTTGAATCACTCTGACTCAACCATAGTCTCCTCCTTCCACTTTTCCTTGTGTCTGGGTGGTACCAGTGATGAACCCAGGGCCTGAGCATACCCCAGGCAGTCTGAATTGCAAGCCTTTTGCCTTGGACTTCAGAATAGCTGACATTACTGGCCTTCACCACCAGGTCTTTTTCTCTCTCCCTTTTTTTTTTTAAATTGTTTTTATTGAGCTATGTATTTTTCTCCACTCCCCTCCCCTTCTCCCCTTTCCCATGGTCCCCATGCTCCCAACTTACTCAGGAGATCTTATCTTTTTCTATGTTCCATGTAGTTTAGATCCATTTATGTCTCTCTTAGGGTCCTCTTTGTTGTCTAGGTTCTCTGGGATTGTAAATTGTAGGCTGGTTTTTCTTTGTTTTATGTCTAAAAGCCATGTATGAGTGAGTACATGTGATATTTGTCTTTCTGGATCTGGGTTACCTCACTCAATATGATGTTTTCTAGATCTATCCATTTGCCTGTAAATTTTAGGATGTCATTTTTTTTCTGCTGTGTAGTACTCCATTGTGTAAATTTACTACATTTTTCTTATCCATTCTTCAGTCAAGGGGCATTTAGGTTGTTTCCAGGTTCTGGCTATGACAAACAAAGCTGCTATGAACATAGTTGAGCACATGTCCTTGTGGCACAATTAAGCATCCTTTGGGTATATACCCAAAAGTGGTATTTCTGGGTCCTGAAGAAGGTTGTTTCCTAATTTTCTGTGAAATCGCCACACTGACACCCAAAGGGGCTGTACCAGTTTGCACTCCCACCAGCAATTCCCTTTACCCCACATCCTCTCCAGCATAAGTTATCATCAGTGTTTTTTATCTTATTCATTCTTACAGGTGTAAGATGGAATCTCAGAGTTGTTTTGATTTGCATATCTCTGATGATATTTCCTTAAGTGGTTTTCAGCCATTTAGATTCCTCTGTTGAGAGTTCTCTGCTTAGGTCTATAACCCATTTTTTTAAAATTGGATCATTTGTTCTTTTGATGACCAATTTCTTGAGTTCTTTATATATTTTGGAGATCATACCTCTGTCTAATGTGGGGTTAGTGAAGATCTTTTCCCATTCTGTAGGCTGCCATTTTGTCTTGTTGACTGTGTCCTTTGCTTTACAGAAGCTTCTCAGTTTCAGGAGGTCCCATTGTTTCTCTCAGTGTCTGTGCTACTGGGGTTATATTTAGGAATGGTCTCCTGTGCCAATGTGTTCAAGTGTACTTCCCACTTTCTCTTCTATGTTTCTCACACTTTTAAGGATTTGCTGTCTTGATGTAGAGCCCACCTGAGTGTTAAGGTCAGATGGTTTGCAGTGTTATCTTTCTGCACAACCTTTGCCATGTAACAGAATACTCTCGGCTTCTGATGATTAAGACAGGATCATCTTTTGGGGGCAGAGAGGGCTCTCATCAGCCCACCACAGAAGCAAACCAAAATAAAAAGGTCTGGGATAAGAAACCATGCTTTTAAACACATATGGAAACATCCAGTAACACCAGGTAGTCAATGATTGGTTCTATGATGTCCAAAGTGAAGAAACCAAGATGAGGGTATTCACAGTGCATGGGGAAAGATACCTTGAAATCAGAGAAGGAAGGAACAGCCCAAAGTTCAACACCCCCTCTCCTTTTTTAAGACAGGGCCTTAATAAGTAACCCAGGCTGGATTTTAACTCAACATCCTCCTGCCTTCGCCTCCTGAGTGCTAGAATTACAAGCATGCGCCACTGTGTCCAGTTCACCTTCACCGACCTATAGACGCTGGAAAGGACCTTGAAAAATCACATGCTCCTTAAACCACTGTGTCCCCCGTTTCCAGACTGATCTGGTATAACAGAAAACTAGCTGGGCAATCCCAGCACTGGAAGGCAGCAGGAGAATCATGTGTTTGAGGCCAGCCTTGACTACATACGAAATAAGACTCCATCTCAAAAGAACAAAGCAAAACTAAACCCAGAAAACAACATGCAGAGGGGCCCCCAAACACGCCGTCATCGGCTTCAGTGTTCCATTTTAAGCCAGCTGGCCTTCAAAGCATCCCTGGTTTTCACACTACTTGATCCTCACCCCCACACTCTCTGTCTCTGAGTCACTGTTAAAAAAGAGTTCTTTACGGCCCTGGCAGCTCCTGAGGCCAAGTTCTCATCTGTACCAACAAACACACCATTTCCCCCCACAAGAGAAAAAAGAAAGCATGAGTGCACACTCACACATGCACACGCGCACACGTGTACACACACACACATCAAACTGTACCCCTAATTAGTCTATGTACTAAAGGGACTTGGAAATCTAGCGTTATGTCTTGTGCCTGCTGCGGTTACAGTACACAAGAGTACACTGATATCCACTAAAAGAGTTTAAGGGATATCTGTGCATCTTTGCACACTGATTGAGACCCCTGGACTCTTGGGTACCCACTCCATCTCTTCTCTCATTTATCCTCCCTGCAAAATCTCAAGAGAGAGGTTGCATGCTGTTCTAGTTTGGCTTCCTACTGCTGTGATAAAGACCCTGACTATAAATAACTTGGGGAGAAAAGAGTTTACCCAGAAAATACTGCCCTGGGGATGGCACGCCCACAGTGGGCTGGGCCCTCTCTTATCAATCATCACTCAAGAAAATGCCCTACGGGTCAATCTGATGGATATACTTTCTCAGGCAGGTGAGGGTCCCTCTCCCCAGATGACCTAGCCTGGGTCAAGCGGACAAGAAACAAACCAGCAGAGAGACGTTACCATCAGTCAGGCAGCTCGGGGTACCGGGAGTTCCTACAGAGTCAAGATGGATCCTGGAATTGGGATGTCCTCACTTTGTCTGGCCCTCACTCACTCTTGATTCACTCTGGGTGCTGCCTCCAGTTTTTTGTAGACAGGGAGAGTCAAGCGCTACTCCATGGTAAGTTTCCTCAGTCCATCCTCCTCCTAACCCAACTCATTCATTTTGCTTTGAGCCATTCTCGCCCCACAGCTTCAGGTCTAACGCACTTCCCTTTATTAATGTGACTTACTCCTGTCCCCGAGTGGCAGCCCAAACCGCTGGTCACACAGCCATCGTGAAAAGTCCCCAATTATTCATGCCCTTTTCTTTCTCCTTGTTCATTTCAAGCACATTTTTAATTTTTACCCAAAGTGTTCTCATGGGAAAGTTCTTTACCCCAGGCACCCACCCACTCCCCCTCCTACCCTTCCCCATCTGGTCAACTCCTCTCATCATCTAAAAATGCCATCTGTCAAAACTGTTGTGTTACAAGTAATATACGAGTCACTGTGGGGTGATGAGGTATTTGATTTTCATCCCAGGTAGCAGTTTTTCCTAAATAAAATGGAAAGAAATGGCCAAACATTATAATTCATGAATGTGAATTCAGCGGAAACGGGGCCATGCTAATTATTATCAGTGGAGACGTTTCCTTCTTCCAGAGAGGAGGCTACGGCCTGCCAAAGAAAGAGAACGGGTCTCTGCGAGACTCTCAAGCCTCCCAGTTCTCCTAGCTGCCCAGGTGTGTAACACCTCCCCTGTGAGTGTTTGGAAGGGAAGGCTCTGCCTTTGCAGCGATACTGGGGAAAGCCCTGGGTTCAGAGGGGCAATGAAAAGAAGCTGCAGAGCAGAACCAAGAGGCGAAGGAGAGAGAGCCGACGGCATTCCCTGCCGGAGCACATGGTGAGGGAGGAAAGCATCCTTAAGAGAGGCTGGAAGGGTAGACTCCTGATGTCTTTCAATGCAGAGGGAAGGCGTACAGTGTCCCCCAGAATCTTGCTTTGGTTAAACAAGGGTGTTTTCTAGCTTTTGCTTGAACGGATCCCAGCAGTTGGTACAGAGGGGTAAAACTATCTTGGTGTTTGTTGACAGAGGTTTCTGTCTGGCCCAATCCCGCAGCTGGCTTACATTAATTATAAACCAATTAGTCCATTAGGTCTGGTCGATTAGCTCAGGCTTCTTATTAACTCTTACATGTTAAATTAGCCCATAATCCTTGTCTGTGTTAGTCACGTGGCTTGGTCCCTGTGATCAGTGAGGCGTTCTCATCTTGCTTCCTCTGCGTTTGGGTAACGTCTAAAAACTGACCCTTTCCTCTTCCCAGAATTCTCCAGTTCTCATCACCCCGCCTCTACTTTTTGCCTGGTTGCCCTGCCTATACTTTCTGCTGGCTACTGACCAATCAGAGTTTTATTAAAACAATATAAGACCATTGTGCCACAGCATCTGGGCTCTAACTTTATAGGCTTACGGGATAAACAAATGGGGAAACCGGGTAAAAAAGAAAGACATGGGTTAGGGACAGAGCAAATAATGTCTTAAAACAGAAACTGATGAAGCTAAGACTTGTATGATCTCTGAAGCATCCCACTATATGGAAATTCTCCACTCTTACCATCTTTTTTTTTTTCAGTTTTTTTTTTTTTTTAGTTTTTTTTTTTTTTTTTTTTTTTTGAGACAGAATTTCTCTGGGTTGCTTTGGAGCCTGTTCTGGAACTAGCTCTTGTAGACCAGGCTGACTTTGAACTCACAGAAATCTGTCTGCATCTACTTCCCAAGTGTTAGGATTAAAGGCGTGCACCATCACCCAGCTACATCTTGCCATCTTAGCAACTGTGATGTGGTAGGTATTATTTAAAATGCCAAAGACGATGATCCTGAAAGAAATACATTATATGTCCATTTTACAGCTGTGGAAATTAGGCATGATAACCATAAAATCGTGATAGTGCCAAGACTCAAAACTCAGCCAAAGCCCATGCGCTGACACTCTTTGAAGAAAAGAGAGGACCAGAGAAGTCAGTGCTCTGATTTGACAGACTTCTGGAGGAAGACACTGGGTCCCGCCACCTGAAATCAATGGGGGTTAGAGTTTCAGTCAAATAAATGCTTTACTGTGGTATCCTTTGATTTAACTTATCTTTTGTTTTTACTTATTGTTTGTTTGTTTTTAAATGTGAGACAAGTCTCACGTATTACAAACTGGCCTCGAACTCACTACATAGTGAACCATGGCTGTGGAAGTCTGTTCTTCGAGCCTCCGCTTCTGAGTGCTGGGGTTTTTGGAGCTGGAGTTGACTGAAAGGCTTCACACAAGCTTGCTAGGCATTCCACCAAAGCCATCCATTGTTCCTTTAAACACTGCTATCATTGAGCCATTGTGTTCACGATCTATGGATGGTAAGTTTGGATGTTTCAACATTCTGAATACTCAGAGTCAAGTCCAGCCCAAAAAAAGGGTTTCTTCAGCAGCTGCTGTGCTGAATGTTTATGATGGAACTTGAAACAGATGACCGGAGTTAGCAGTCCTGGCTACACACTGGAAGAGATGGCTCCTCTATAGGCTGCCCAGACTGATCATGAACTCCTGGGCTGCAAAGATCCTCCTTGCTCAACCTGCCAAACAGCCAAGTCCACAAGCAGCCTAGATCAATGCACTGACCTGGGGTGATCCTTCTCTGGGTCCGGGGCAGGGCTCAGAAATCTGCACTTTAAGAGCTTGCTCAGCTGATTCTTGATGTGCAGCCAGGGCTGGTCCCCACACAGACACGAGATAAAAACAGACTTCAGACTCCCTCGCTGCTCTGTCACTCACAAACACAATCACAATGCAATCAAACAGAGCCGCAAATCCCCATCCAGAAACCCTTCCAAAGCAACACAAAGCAATCACAGAATAGTTTGCTAAAATGAAGGCCAATGCTAAGCATAAACTAGGGCAGGAAAACCGCCAGATGTGAATATATTAAGCTTTATTTTAGGGGATTGCAATTGGAAATTGTTTTAACCACCGCGTGTGGGCGGGCGTTGCGAGGTGGCAGATGGCGAACGGGCGTTGAAGAGGAAAGAGGCTGGGTCTAGCAATCCCACCTTAATCCAGCCCTACCTCTCTCTGGTCACTGTAGTTGGGAGCACTGTCTTGTTTCCTTGGTTCAACTGCACTCTGGCTACACCGGATCCATTCTCATTTTAATCCGGGGGTTGATCCTTTAAAACAAATCGGATCTCTGATGTTACCATTTCTAACTGTAACAGCAATATCCCAAATGTACCATGCATCTGTTCCACATACAGAACATACAGAACTCGACGCCACCCCTGACACCAGTCTTGGAGAAGCCCTGAGTTTTATTTTCATTCTGTAGTGCCAAGGATGGGACCTCGCACCTCGTGCCTGCAAAGCATGTGCTGGACCACAAAAGCCGCATCCCTGGCCCAGCTCCGACTTTTCGACCTAATTGCACAGGCTCCTAGAGGAGAATGGAAGCTTTGTCCATAGCTGTAAAGAATCAGAAAGAACTGACCTATAGATGGCTCATGTGGTCTTAGTTTATGGAAACCCAAGACAGTGTTTCAATGCCAGCAATCTCCAAAATGTACCACTGTACTCTGGTCTCCTCAGAGTCAATCCTAAAGGATTTTTGCTGTCCTTCTGCGGTATGAGATAGCAGTTGGAATGCACAGGCAAAAGGATTTTGAGGACAACCTGGGCTGCACAGACAGGACCTTGTCTTAAAATAAAACAAGAGTTTGAGATACACAACCTGGAGCAGAGGAAGAAACATTCAGTCCGGTGATTGACTGTGAACACAGAAGGTAGGACACACACCACAGATAAGAGTGTTAAGCCAACTGCACAGTGCATTCTGGGACAGCACTATCTTTACTTGCTGCTCTCCGCCTAGAGTTGCCTGGGCTGCTAGGGGCTATTAGAAGTCTGCTTACAGAAGGGCATTGAGCTCAGGCGCAGAGGCAGCTGTAGGAGTCAGCCTGACACTCAGAGAGAGAGGCTGGATACATATTCTATGTGCCAAAGCCATACGGCTTCCGGTGACCCTCCGGTCCAGCACTACCTTACACTGAGAAATGAGGGATGAGCGGGTCTTAAGACATACTCACTGCCGGCACGTTTGTTTAAAATGCTGCCATTTGAGCTAAACTGAAAACTCTCTGAGGGGACAGCGCAGAGATGGGTTAGCCGGTGACAGTGTATGTTGTGGAGCCTGATGGCTCAAGTGAAAGGAAAAGACTGGAAGCTGTCCTCAGGTCCCCACATGCCTACCCTGGCAAATTCATACGGACACATTCAAAACAAACACGCTAAAATGTAATTTAAACCTTAGAAGGAAAACATCCAAGACCAGCGATCCTTGAGACCCCTCTTTGCCAGGACAGCCATGTAGTTTAGTTAAGCAGGTGCCTGGGTTAGTTTAGCAGGTGCCTGGCACCTAAGAGGAGCGACACACACGTTAGTCATCCAGATGAATTTGACTTCCGCCAGTGCAGGTGCTGTGGCTGTCCAGGTCACCTGCTCAGAGGTAATGGTAAAATCAGTCACCCCTGGGAGCCTGTCCCCGAGTGTTATCAACTACAGCCTCCACAATAACTCCCCAGATCTGCACCGGCTTCCCCGAGATGCTTTCCCAACACGGTCCTACAATTTAAGTTTTAATAAAGGCTAATAGGGAATTTGAAATATCTTCAATTCACAAAAGCACCTGGGGCTTACAGGCGAAAGAAAGAAACAAAAGCTGTAGGGGACTAGGGCAGGGCGGGTCTTTCCCCAAGACAATAACGTGTGGCAGGAGTGAATCCCGCTGCTAACAGTCAAAGAAGGGCTGGGGGTGGAGCCAGCAAACGCGCTCTCAGGTGAAACCGGGTGATGGTGGCTGGTTCAATCCCCGTCACCGCTTACAAACAGAAGGTGCAGTTCGGGGAAAGAAAGGCATTTCTCTCAGCCTACCCCTCAAGGAGGAAGAAAGCCCTGAGGATCCGATCCTTCCTCTGCTCTCCAAGATAACCTGAGTCCCGGTGTCCCACCTCCCATTTATGCAAGTTTCTCGCCACTTGGAAGGTTACTCTAAAACCACACAGAGAACGCTTAGATAGACCTTCAGCTCTTACGTGCGTGTTTTAGCAGGGGCTGGCTCGGTTGCAGCATTTGAAAATTGCTCTGCAGCTCTGCATTTTCGCAATAACTGCAAGTATCTGGGCAGAAGGCAACAGTCTGCAGGCATTCCAGCCTTCCCTCACCCGCAGTCACCCGCTGCATCCCCTACCGTACTTGCCAGCCGGTGTGTTTAATACAAAGCCCAGGTGAAGCCCGAAGAATTCTACCTCCGACCGACTGAGGCAGAAGACGAAGGTTCTAAGTTTTGAAACGTCCTACTTTCCTGATGCCTCAAACGGTCCCACAGACAGGCCCTGCGCACCTCATTCAGACTTCCAGCACGCAGGGGCCCCCAGTGTGATAACGCCTTTCTATCCCTGCCACAAATGTCTCTTTCTGCTTGCTCTTGACTGTTTAATCTAGTGAGACATTCAAAAGAATCAGTGAAGGTCCCTCAAGCCTTAGGGTATGTGGAGACGACCAACTTCCAACAAAAGCATTTGGCCAGGGGTCTGTCTGTCCCCTCTTTCTCTCCCCCTCCCCGCCCTCTTCTCCCTCTCTTTTTCTATTCCCCTCCCCCCTAGCTTTCTGGGAGCGCCCCTTCCACGTGGCCCCAAACTCCAGGGTCTTTGGTGTATAATTAGTTCTTTAATCTTATCTACCTCTCACAGGAATTTCGCAAGGGGGGGACTTACACCCCCATTTACAACACAACAGGACTCGGGATGCCTCCTCGGAAGAGAACCCCAGGGATTTTCCTCTCTAGTCCATTCTTCCTTCCTCTCCCGCTCCCCCACTGAGGGGGACAAACAGGAAGGCAAACAGGCTCCTGCTTACTGGGGCTGAAATGAGAACCTTCCACTGCTGCCTTTGACCCTTCCCGCCACGTGCCTACTTGCTCGTAGTCTGAGCCCGCGGACCCATGGACTCTACTGACTTGGCGAGAGCAATGACTCCTTTATGCAGACTCCATGCCAGCCTAATGCTCTGATTGCCCTACACACCTGCCGGAGAACCCTCGCCCGCCTCCGACTTTGTGGAATTGTTTCTTCCACACTTGCCTACTTTTTCTGAGAGGCAAGAACTTTGTGTGGCTGCAAATTCATTGGTTCGGGGGCACTGGCAACTTCCATAGCTGTCAATCAATGGGAAAGATAGCAAGCTGTAGCAGAAAGAGACCAGGGAGAAAGGTAGCACTGGAAGGGGTCAGAAGAATAGTCTCTGGATAAAAGGAAGTTGCTCAGCATCCTAAGACGTTCTGTCCACAGCTGCCATTCTATGAAGGTAAATCCCAAAACACTTATACTTTTCTAGGCAGGGTTTCTCTACGTAGCACTGGCTACCCTGAGCGGGCCTTGAACTCAGAGATCCTCCTGCCTATGCCTTCTGAGTGCTGGGATTAAGGGTGTGCACCACCACGGCCCTACCCAAAGCACATTCTTTGTGCTGCAATTAAAAAACACACCTGGTTTAAGGAGTGGAGCGAGTTCCAGTACGGCCAGGACTACTTGGAGAAACCCTGTCTTGAAAAACAGGAAGGAAGGAAGGAAGGAAGGAAGGAAGGAAGGAAGGAAGGAAGGAAGGAAGGAAAGAAAGGAGGGAGGGAAGAGAAGGGGAGGGAGAAAGAGAAAAAAGAAAGGAAAGAGGGAGGAAGGAGAGGGGAAAGAAAGAAAAGAGAAAGAAGGAAGGAAGGAAGGAAGAAAGGAAGGAGGGCTCCATGTCAGCCAGCTCTTCTAGAAACTCCAGCTTCCTGCCCCCTTTTTCCAACTGGACACTTCCCATCCAGCAGCCTTAGAGAGACTTACAGCGCTGTAGGAAGAGTCCTAGAAACACAGGATGAGGAGCTGCCTTCCTCTCCAAACCAGAGGAAGACAGCCACACTTGGGAGAGACCAGTGAAGGGGAGACAGGAAATTTAAAATGGAGAGACAGTGACCCCTTCCGTAATATTCAGAAGTCAAAGT